TCTTCATTCATAGGTTCTCCCTCAGGATCGGATCCAAGAGGGCCAGTGGCTGGGGTGCGATTCGGCTTGCAATCGGTCATTCCAGCGGCAACAAGAATCTTGTCAATCAAACCAGTTTGGGTAAGTTTGATTGAACCATCATTCGTTTGTCAAATTTGATTCCAACAAACTCATTGAAATTTCCTTCCTTCTTCAGCTCAAATCCAAGGTCGCGTAGTTGGTTTCGGTTTTGGACGTGTAGGGGGCTGAGGCATCTCCTTTGGAGTCGCATTCATCTCCCTCTGAGGCGCAGACGGCTGGGAAGGCGGAGCCTCATTTGCAGTCTCCCTCTGGAGTGAAGGTAGTGGAGTCTCCTTCTGGAGCGAAGATAGTGGAATCTCCCTCTGGAGCGAAGGTTGCTGATTCGACAATCCGACAGTTGGTGGCACAGTGGTAGGTGGGGGCTTGACGTCCAATGGTTCGGAAGGGCGATGATGTTCAATTTGGTCTCGGACGCGAGACACCAATGGCGGAAGGTCGGATGGAGCTTGGTCGACTGGAGGCTCATGATCATGATCATCATCCACGATGTATTGGTAGATCGAGTCTCCAAAGAGCTTCATCCATTCATTAGAACCAAAATCCGGTAAGTCGTCGACACTCGTAGCAATTGTTGAGAACTCGTCGTCAAACACAATGTGGAATTGGGATGTGATGGCGCCAGTTGCTGGATTCAAACACAATGGAACTGACGATGCGTGCTTCTTGCTCAATCCAACATAGATTTGCCGAGTTGAGCGGGGTTGCCACCAAGGCAGCTTTTGTCCATCCTGGATCTTTTTTTCAAGAACGTATACTGGGCATCCCCAAACATGAACATCGGTGAGTCGAGATTGAGGCCAGCGGGTGCGACTGATGAGATCATTTGGAGATAGACCTGTGGTTGGATCTGGCATGTGGTTGTACAAGAAGACAGCTTGATCCACGGCAAGGGGCCAACAGTTGGCAGCAGCAACATCAGGCCAATGGATGGCTTGATGCAACATCATCGTTCGCGCAATGGACATAATCGTTTGGATTGATCGTTCGGCGATTCCATTGTGATGATGAGCTCCAACTCCTGCAAACGAAGACTGTTCAAACTGTCGTAAGTGCTCAGTGTATGCCCTTGATGTGAAAGCTCCACCATTGTCACTCTGGTACTCTGACACAATAACTCCAAACTCTCGACACTTGTTTTCGAAAGCTTCCTTGCCTTGCAAAGTTTCATGAGTGTTGAGATGAACCTGATGATGGACGTGGACAAAACCGGAGGCATGATCCACAAAGATGCATCCACCTGAGAATCAAAGTGAATCATCTTCCTTTCCAAAGGTATGTAGCAATCGTCCTTTTGTTGAACAAACAAAATGATCCACTGACACTTTCTGTCCTGGGAACAAGTTGTCTTTCTGCAGGGCTCCCTCAGGATCGCGGACCACCCTTGAGGTCTTTCCAGGAGCTGGACGACGACGTTGCTTGCCAAATTGACATCCTGCACAGAGTGGTAATGTTGTCAGCTTGGAAGCTGCAGCTTGTAGACGTCGCGTCGACTCAGCATGCGCCAATACACCAGTTCGAAGAAGGAATTGAATTTGCTTGAAGTTGAGATGGCCAAGGCGATGATTCCATTTCATCAATTCGTGGGCAGCGGGGCTGAGATTGTGGTTGTTCGAAGTAGTGGTGGTCACAAAGTTGTTGAATTCGGCTTCAAAGTTTGTGGAGTTGGAGTTGGAGCCATGATCGTAGGCCAGAGAGGTAGGTAGGTCTGTTGCTGGGTCAATTGCAACTTCAATCGAGTTGGTAGCTTCATCTTGTCTCACATTGTCCCTTGACAGCAAATCCTTGGTTCCAATCATTGTCAATAGTGTGCTTGATTGCGAGATTTCTTCCAGTGGATAGGCTTGGAGCAGACTGGTGGTGCTGAGAAGTCGAACAGAAGCACTTGGTACGTAGTATGCTGGCACTTTCAGAGTTCTCAATCGTCCGGTCTTGTCAATGAATGACCATCTCACATACCCAACACCGGCAATATGCAGTCCTCTTGCAATCCCTTTGATTCGTAGTCCAATCGGAGCTGGTTGAATGGGTCCATTGAAATCCTTCTTGCATGGAGAAAGAGTATGACTTGCACCGGAGTCCCAAATCACCTTGTTCTTCGGCACTCTGTGAAGCTTCTGATATTCTTCGATGGCTTGCTTTGGATCTGTTGCAGCCTTGAAACGTTCCGTAATGTTGTTCAAGTGCAGCGGGACATTACCATTGGCGAAGAATGTAGCTGCAATCGGAGAGGTAAGCACCTTGAGCTGTGACATAGGAATTCCATTGCCAATTGTTGGCTTGTACACTGTGTTCCTTCGATTACAACGTCTCATCCTTTGTTGTCTCATGTTACAGGAACTGAAGGCTTCACTGTGAGGGCTCCAATCATAAGCAGATGCTCTTTTGTTTGGATTGTAGTAGGTCCAACGAGAATACTTCTTCCAGTGTCCAGAAGTTTCCCATGCACCATTGGGTTGATTGCGATACTTCTTGGGCTTGCAACGGGGACAGTGGGCTGAAGGGTGCGTCAAGTTCGGGTCGTCTCCATGGTGGCCACCACAATCTTGCCATGTCTCACTATTCGTCTTCTTCTTACGACTCTTGTTCTTCCAATCATTCCAATTATCTCCCTCATGAAGGGCACTCCAAATATGTCCCTCTCGTGGAACACGACGAAACAAAATAGCTTTGCCAAAGGCGTCAATGTACTGAGAGAGTTCAAAGACTTCTTGAGAGAAGCGATCATATCGCTGAGACAACGGACGGCGTTTTCGAGTAGCAAGGCCATAGTGACGGGTGTGGCGATAGTTGCTGAAGGACTTGGGGCAACATTTGCGACGGCAGGACCAAATGAATTGCTTGTACTTTGGTTTTGTCATTCGGAAAGGCTTGAACTCCTGTGGCGACTGGTATCTGAGGAGCTGGTGCTGAAGGTGATGGGTGACAGAAATAAATGAATATAGACTATAAGCCTATAGTTGACTAGTTCCTACAAGTTGATTGATATCAATTCAAGTAAAAAGCATGCAGTGAGAAAAGCGATGATACATCACTTTTCCACACGAATCCTATAGTGCGATGCACATACTCAATGCTCCAAGCACCAAAAGTCTGAAGTATGCGATACGATCTGGTCTCATCAAGAACTGTCCTATCACTGAAGAAGCAATCAATCATGCCGAAGCAATCTTTGGACCTGACGCCTCTACATTGAAAGGCAAGTCAACAAGACCAACTCCGAAGAAGACGTATGACGACTTCTTCAGTCCACCAGAGGAATTGTATCAACATAATC